AGGGCCTAGGAAGCTGTAACACCCCGAGGCAGTGCAAGGTGACAAGTAGCAGCAGCAAGCAGGGCAGAGTCCTCCCTCCCTGCCATCGAGGCGATCCGGACTCCTGGTGACCCCACAGGACAGGGTAGGACTGCCCCTGTAGGTTTCTGAGACTGGGACCCTTTGCAGGTGTACGAAGCCCTGTTTTTGTCCCAGGGAGCGCCTGGTGGTTTCAAACTGCTGACTTTGCCGTTGGCCGCCCGACATAGTAACCACTGTGCCACTGGGACAGAGGAATGATGAAAGAAGAGGGTAGCCCACGAAGGGGGCCATCTGAGTGGGCACTCTGACCCCCTTGCAGGGAGGGCTGATCACCTTCCGGCAGAGGCTTCCTGGTGGGAGGTGGTCCCTCCAGGCACGCCTTGACAGAGCTAACCAGCTGTATGACACGCGGCCCGCAACAGAGGCCAGGCTGAGTGGGAACTGGGGTGGAGGTCTGTCCTGAAGAGACCCCAGAGCGGTTCTCAACCTGTGGGTCGCGACCCCTTTGGGGTCGAAAGACCCTTCCACAGGGGTCACCCGATTCATGACAGTGATGAAGTAGCAATGGAAATAATCTTATGGTTGGGGGTCACCAGCACAAGAGGAGCTGTATGGAAGGGTCGCGGCCTGAGGAGGGTTGAGAACCGCTGAACTAGGAGAATTGGTCCCCCACAGGAGGAGGCTTTACCTATGCGCTTCCTGCTCCTGAGGCTGAGCTGTAACCTGCTCCCTCCCTAGTGAACCCCACGATCCTGTGTGTGACCTGTGAGCTCTGGGTGGCCATCGCAATGGATCCACCCACCTAGGGGAAGTAAACGTTGCTTTGGAAGAGACAGCCAGTGTCACCATCAGTTATACACTTGTAGAAAAGCATTGCCAACCTCACACCAATCAGCTCTGACCGGATGCGGATTCTGACTCTCTCTCCTCCTCTCCGGAGCCCGGGGATGGTGTGGGTTAAGCTCTGGGCCGCTACCCACAAAGCTGGCGGTTCGAACCCACCATAGAGCGTTTGTTTCAGGGACCCTAGGGGGCGGTTCTGCCAGTCCTAAAGGGGTCGCTAGGAATTGGAATGGCCTCGACAGCCCTGGGTTTGGGTTCCCACCTCCTGGCATCCGAGGAGGAGGTCTGACTTAACCACGTCTTTTTTT